CTTCCTTTTCTTGGTAAAACATTTGGTCATCACTGGGCTTCAAATCATCTTCTACTCCATCTTTAACGTCAACAACCTGAGTTAGGGCAGATTCTACTTTTTCTAAGTCAATGACTTGTTTCTTGTTTTCTATATCGAAATCTTTTGAAATGTCTTCTTCTGTAGGATACATATGTTTCAATGTGGATTGATTAAAATTTTTCACAGAGATCTCAGTCATTTCAGTGTAGTCAGTTAGACTTTTACAAAAAATGTCACACATTTTTACAAGATTACCTGTATCTGTTGAGTAATCAGTTTCCAATTTTTCTTGCTTTTGCACTGAATGATCTTCTACTTCTTGTATTTTCCCCCGAGTGCTTTCTGAAAAAACACCTTTGGTGACCTCACTGTGAAGACTGTCAGTTGTCTGCTTCTCGTTTTATAATGTCCTTTGAATTTTAACCATTTCTAGCTTAGGATCTACCTCTGTTTCATCTTGAAGATTTTCACATTTTGGCAACAACTTCTGTGGGTCAGTTTCAGTGTATTTTGATGGTAATAATGTCTGAACCAGTGAAGGCTCACCAGGTAATGATGGCATACAGGTCCTTCTCAAAAAATTAGCATATTGTGATAAAGGTCATTATTTTCCATAATGTAATGATAAAAATGAAACTTTCATATATTTCAGATTCATTGCACACCAACTGAAATATTTCAGGTCTTTAATTGTTGTAATACTGATGATTATGGCATACAGCTCATGAAAACCCAAAATGCCTGTCCCAAAAAATTACCATATCATGAAAAGGTTCTCTAAACAAGCTATTAACCTAACCATCTGAATCAACGACGTAACTCTAAACACCTGTAAAAGATTCCTGAGGCTTTTAAAAACTCCCAGCCTTGTTCTTTACTCAAAACCGCAATCATGGGTAAGACTGCCGACCTGACTGCTGTCCAGAAGGCCATCATTGACACCCTCAAGCAAGAGGGTAAGACACAGAAAGAAATTGCTGAACAAATAGGCTGTTCCCAGAGTGCTGTATCAAGGCACCTCAGTGGGAAGTCTGTGGGAAGGGAAAAGTGTGGCAGAAAACGCTGCACAACGAGAAGAGGTGACCGGACCCTGAGGAGGATTGTGGAGAAGGGCCGATTCCAGAACTTGGGGGACCTGCGGAAGCAGTGGATTGAGTCTGGAGTAGAAACATCCAGAGCCACCGTGCACAGGCGTGTGCAGGAAATGGGCTACAGTTGCCGCATTCCCCAGGTCAAGCCACCTTTGAACCAGAAACAGCAGCAGAAGCGCCTGACCTGGGCTACAGAGAAGCAGCACTGGACTGTTGCTCAGTGGTCCAAAGTACTTTTTTCGGATGAAAGCAAATTTTGCATGTCATTCGGAAATCAAGGTGCCAGAGTCTGGAGGAAGACTGGGGAGAAGGAAATGCCAAAATGTCAGAAGTCCAGTGTGAAGCACCCACAGTCAGTGATGGTCTGGGGTGCCATGTCAGCTGCTGGTGTTGGTCCACTGTGTTTTATCAAGGGCAGGGTCAATGCAGCTAGCTCTCAGGAGATTTTGGAGCACTTCATGCTTCCATCTGCTGAAAAGCTTTATGGAGATGAAGATTTCATTTTTCAGCATGACCTGGCACCTGCTCACAGTGCCAAAACCACTGGTAAATGGTTTACTGACCATGGTATTACTGTGCTCAATTGGTCTGCTAACTCTCCTGACCTGAACCCCATAGAGAAGCTGTGGGATATTGTGAAGAGAAAGTTGAGAGATGCAAGACCCAACACTCTGGATGAGCTTAAGGCCGCTATCGAAGCATCCTGGGCCTCCATAACACCTCAGCAGTACCACAGGCTGATTGCCTCCATGCCACGCCGCATTGAAGCAGTCATTCATGCAAAAGGATTCCCGACCAAGTATTGAGTGCATAACTGAACATGATTATTTGAAGGTTGGCGTTTTTTGTATTAAAAACACTTGTCATTCATTGGTGGGATGAAATATGCTAATTTTTTGGGACAGGCATTTTGGGTTTTCATGAGCTGTATGCCATAATCATCAGTATTAAAACAATTAAAGACCTGAAATATTTCAGTTGGTGTGCAATGAATCTGAAATATATGAAAGTTTCATTTTTATCATTACATTATGGAAAATAATGACCTTTATCACAATATGCTAATTTTTTGAGAAGTACCTGTAGAGCTAGCATGTGAAACAGACAGGAAAATACCTTGCTTAGTGTCTTGAGTCAATTCTGTCTGCCATCCCGTCTGTATTTGTAAAGGCATTTTCAGTGTGTTGTGGGCTTCGTCAACATTACTATTTTCTGTAACTTTCCGTTTAGATTGTTTAACCTGTTGTCTTTCTTCATTTGTACGGCTCAACCCCAGCTTTCTTCTGCCCCAACTAAAGCTGAAGTCACTTTGCTCATCTGTACTTTGAGATTTGTCCAGAAGTTGGTAATGTGCTGCAAATTGAGACTTCACAGAACTGTTGCTTCTCTCATCTTCAGAGAATAGTTTATTTTGCTGAACACTTTTATTAAAATGCTTATCTCCCCACAGAAGGCCTCCACCATCATACGACTGACTGAAAGTACAGTCTTCATTGTCTGACTTGTCTACCCATGGTTGTTTGGTTTCATAAAAATGATCATCCTTATTTATTTCATTTACAGCAAACTGTTTTTGGCGGGCAGCACGGTGGCGCAACTGGTAGAGCTGCTGCCTCTCAGCGAGCAGGTCCCTGGTTCAAACCCCGGTCCAGGGGCCCTTCTGGGTGGAGTTTGCATGTTCTCTCCGTGCATGCGTGGGTTTTCTCCGGGTACTCCGGTTTCCTCAGACCACACAGACCACAGACCAAAAACATGCATGTTAGGCTGATTGGTAACTCTAAATTGTCCCTAGGTATGAGTGAGAGAGTGAATGGTTCTTTGTCTTGTTTCTCTATGTGGCCTTGTGATGGACTGGAGACCCGTCCAGGGTGTACCCCGCCCCTCACACAGTGATTGCTGGACATGGGCACCGGCGACCCCCGTGACCCAAAATGGAAGTAGCAGGTAAAAATAATGGATGGATGGATGTTTTTCTTGGCTTGCAGAGCATGAATAGGTTGCAGAATCATCTGCACTTTTCAATATGAGCTCAGGCTGAAAAGTATTAATTTCAGGGGTCTGGTGTACAGAGCAAAGATCAGAATCTACTGGTGACTGTAGATTCAAAGTTTCAGGAGAGTCATGAGTTTGATCAATACAGTGAAATTTTGTTGGCTTTTCGTCATTATCCACTTTATTTACAGCATCCTCTGAATACTGAACAGTTTTTACTTTAGGTTTGGAGACATTACCCTTTTCTTCGTTTGCAGCAAACTCCTTTTTAGGCAGTATAATTGCTTCTTGTGCAGCACTGTTGCTAATTTCTCTGTTTACTTTAATGGTGGTATGATCCACATACTTCTCAGATGTGGTTGACTCAGAAAGTATTTTTGCATGTGACTCACTCACTGAGAAATTGCCCTGACAAATTTTCTCTTGCCTGAACGAGTCTGAATCAGCTTTCTTATTGCTTTCCAATTCTGCTACAAAACACATGTTGGAGCGTTCTTTGTGTTTGATTACTTGATTAACTGAAGAACATGCAGATTTATTGGTTGACCCAAAAAGACCAGCTTTGGTTTCCTCATTTTGTACAACGTTACTTTTGTCAGTTGCATCCAGTGTGTCACCTTTGAAATCTTGCATACTGCTGTCCTTGTTGACTGTAGTTTTACAAACGTCCTTTGGAGAAGCCGATGCACTGAAATCACTACTTTCAGCGTTCTGTGTAGGGGCTGGGACCAAGTAGGTGTCACACTTAGCAGACACGGCATAGTCACTCTCTTGACCTGATTCTTTCTGCATTTCAAGTTGTGTTGTTGCAGAAACTTCTGTTTTTGAAGATTTGCAATACCCCATGTCTCCTCCTGAACATCCTTTCTAAGTTCAAGCTCTTGCTCTTTCACATGCCGCCTTCCTTTTTTTTCGCCTCGACCCGTTTTCTTCTATTCATTTTGATTTCACGTGTAGGTGGATGCTGGGTTTCAGCTTTTAAGCTGTCAGCATAAAAAAAGTTTATCGCTTTTTTTTTAATTATTCCACTACTGTTCAGCTACAAATGTATGATTTGTTAGCTGCAGAGGTTGAATTCAGGTTCAGTCACATTCACTACGTTTCTCCTGACATGGTTTGCAGATAATCTTAGTGCCTCAAGCATGAAACATTCAGTTCAGCTATGCATTATGAAATCTTGTTTAAAAGCTGTTAACACGTACACAACCTCGAGAAAATGTATAAAAAGCAACATAACTTTCCCAGTATAAACCAAGTTCTTCAACAACACACAGCACAAGAATTAGACAAATTGAAGGCATACTAATACACATTAAACCATCATTACATGTAATAAAAAAAAGAGTGATATCTATTTAACAAAATTATTTATGGATGTCTAAATAGTTAAATTGCATGCACTTACCAACCAAATCTGGCACATCCATCGACTCACACCATGAGCTGCTCTTCAATGTTAAGTCATCTGCTCTGCTCAACAGGAGCTGCACTTCACTCATCGGGGGAGTGTCCCTAAACTGCAAACACGTCTGACAGCTTCCTGTGTGGTTTCATCAGTACCAAACACTCACTTCCTGCATAAAATAAAGCTCAAATCTTCACGATTACTTAAAACTTCTATTTAAAAGATCAGGCCAAAATTGTAACCAAGGTAAAACATTTATTGAACAATTGGTTAATTGGCATCGTCATAACTTGTTGGGAGTTCAGAATCAAGCAAGTTTGAGTAAATTCCATCTTAACTAAGTAACATACAGTAGGTAAAATACAGATGTACACATATTGTTTTTAGGAACAACCAACAAATCACAGTACCAGTATTTATTACACCTCTGCATCTCACAGTGACCCATAGAAACAAACAGAAGAGAAAATAAAAAACAAATAAAACCCCCCACAAAAGTTTAATTCAGCAGTTAAAAAAACAAAGGACATTTCTATTAAGAAACTAAATGGAGTATTTGATTTCAAAAACATGCAGAGCAAAATAGAACTTGTTTAATGCGAATAAATCTATTCGTAAAATGAGAAAATCTTGCCATAACAGCTGACGAAATGAAAAAAATTCAGTCCTTTATGTTCATTGAATGGATAGACCACAATGCATATGATCGAGCTTAGGCTGTTCTAAAGGTGCAAACAAAAGTCTTAATTAAAAAACAAAAACAAAATAAAGACCTATAAAACTTTTTTCCTTCTTGCAACTTTAGCACGATCTTGCAGAACAATGGAGGATCTTCATTTTCTTTCATGGGACCTGGAACGACTGTACAAGTCAACTGGTAAATAACTTATTAAAAAACAAGTTCATGTTAACAGAATCAAAAATATGGTATAAAACAAATTTATATCTACCTCCTTGATCGAGAAAAGGATCGCGAGCGTTTGCGGTTCTTTTCTTTGGAGAGAGACCGATATCTGCGTCTATCTTTTGACAGAGACCTGAGAACCAAAAATTGTGTAATCAATAATTGTGTAATCAATCAAATAAATATGTAGTATGTAGTAACAATATTTATTCAGTCTTACCTGCTGCGACTGCGACTCAAGCTCCTCCTCCTTGGTGATCTATGTCATGCATGGTTGTGAAAAAAATGAAATAAAACTAAATTAGTACAAAGACACATACACAAATCTTGTCAGGAATGAATCCTGGGGCATTTTAACCCTTAAGAGGCAGGGAAGTGCAGTGAAGTCAACTTATAAAAAGAGAAACTGTCCATTAAGCACCAATCACTAGGCCAGACTTGAAAGAAACAAATGCCAGGGCTTGACACTAAGGCTCTGTCCACACTACTTCACATATTTTGAAAAATGTGTATTTTCTGCTGTGTTTGCACCTCCAGTATACATACAAACTAGTTTTTTTTGTTTGTTTTTTTAACTATTTTTGATATCTCTGCATGGACAGGAAACAGATTCTTTTAGAAACAATGATGTAATGCTTATTTTGTGAATGCTCACTATCACAGTAACCTCGAAAACCAAACAGTAAAGTTTTGCTTGCTGGTTTCGTCTTGTGTTATCCTGATTCTGTCACCATTAAACTTTGCTCATGTGCTGAAATAGTTAACTGATAATACTTAGTTTTCTTTAGCTATGCTAAAGATGTTCTTTATCTGTATTTTGATTACACATACATTGGTTATGTGAATGTTCTTGCCATCTAGTGGCCCAGCATGTGTATTACATCAATTTTAGTAACTAAGGAAAAAAGGTGAAATTAAATATCTGAAGTAGTATAGACAGTGCCTACAGTTCCTATGAGAACTCAAGCAACAGTTTAGACCTTTTGTTTACTGTTAAGCTGAAAGTATATTGGTTCTGAATAAATTTAAGTGCCAGATTAAGAAAAATCTACAAAGGTGGCTTCATAGAGCAGACAAGCTAAAGTCCATTAAAAATAAATAAAAAAACTCAAGTTTGAGACATATGAAACACAAAAAACTAGTATGTATAGAACAGCTGCAAAAAATGCTTCAAAAACATAGCACACTAAACAACACTCTGAATGGCTTGAGGTTGAGGCATAAAATGCACTCAGCAATACAGTTTCAACAAAATAAAACAATAATATTTTGCAAATTAAAACTTCTGAATGCTGGTTCAGCCCCTTGAGCTTTAGATTTATTTATATGTTTTGCAGAGCTGCACTGAGCTTGCTTTTAGTACCCAAACTGCTGAAGAAACGCTGTCAACCAGCTTTTAAGCTAGATTTATCATAAAAACTACAAAGAGCAGGATAAAAGCAACTTACTATTTTGGGGGATTTGGACAAGATAGAAATGATGCTAGGAAGCCAGACTGATGATGAGGGAGGTCGAATTGCAGAGAGGATTTGCCACATGATGCAAAAGTTGCAGATATGAAGTTGCTTGGTGGCTGGTTGGAGGGGGGAAGTTGTAGATTTTCCTGCCTTTTTTTGGTGTGGGGTGAGGAATAGGGAGGGATGTAACCCAAGAGCTGTTCCCGCTGATACAGTAGATGTGTGGAGAATATATAGAGTAAAGATGCTGATTGGTTGATAATGTGAAGTAGACCGCTGTCGGTTGGATAAAGGTCGGAGGAAGTAGAGGAGGATGCTGGGAACTGCATGCTCAGGAACCAAAAGGTTGGTGCAACCTGATGACTGGCGATGCGCCTGGGTCATGTGACAACACCAGTGAAGCTGATTGGGGCTCGCTGGTCAGCAGTCACATGAAGCTGAAAGAGGACTAGTTGACTGACTCAGATGGTGAGAAGCGTGGTGGTGACTCTGCAACGGGGTTCATTTTTATTAATAGATGGCAACTGAACTGAGAAATAAAGCAAAATTTACACCTACAGAAAGTGATTCCAAAAGTATATAGAAATATATTTGATGGATGCTGAAGTTGTAATTGTGTCCTTTTAGAGAGCTCTGTAAAACCTTTGATTTGGTATATGTTGGTTTTCACACAAACATTTATGGAGGTGGGTTTATAATCAAATACTAAAT